TGTCTGAGTCCTTGCACGGCTACATGTTCGAGTGGTTCTGGGTCGGCGGCGAGTGGAGAGCCGCGGACGTGACTCGGAATCCTTGCACTTATTTTGTAACCGATAAAAGTAAGTTTGAATTTTCTGGCTTTCTTATTCTGATTTCAAATTTTTTCACGTGCTAACTCGTTGGTGTTTGCTTTTTTAGTTCGACACTTGAACTTGGGCATCAGTGAGGAACTAGCCGTGAAGGTCGAAACTTTGCTTATACTTCCCTCGTCAATCGTTACTACATGGATCTTGTTTAGGAGAAGAACTTACTCAACTCCGGCCTTTGTCCCAAACTTGCCAACAAGTCATTCGTTTCTGGTATCGTTCGAGGACCATTTATGTTTACAATTTTAGTTCAGACTTTTTGTTTAATTATAAACTTTTGTAGTTTATTACTTTCTACTCCGACACTGCAGGCCCATCTTGGTGAAGGAGGCCAACAAGTACACTTGCGCCAATCCCAATCCACTGAAAGAGAAGACGAAAATGGGTAGTTGAATGGTGTTCCTGATGAAGCAGAACAAAAAAGCACTGTTTCTCGAGTTCGACCGCGACTTCAAGTTTTGTGCCACCAACCCCGGCTATAGCGAACCCGCTAGACCCGAAGGTTAATGTGACCGAGGGTGTTGTGCCACTGATTCTGAGCTCCGCGTGGGTAGGCAGAGCTGGTGGCCGGGCTGACGGTCGTGGATTCGGAGCTGACGGTGGGGACGTCCAGATGAGCCAAAGGGTCGAGACTCGGAAGAAACGCCAGTTACATGAGAAGGAGCCGGACAGGGCCAACCACGAGACCATCCTTAGGGTACGAGATGAGGTCCTGTCGTCTTCCAAGAAGAAGAAGACGGTAGAGGGGGAAGATGCCATCTTGGCTAGTGAGTCGTCGGCCTCCGTTCTCCAAGACGAGTCATCGACTACATTTCCATCAATCCGAGGAGAAAAGCCTCACACATAAAGGACCTATATCATTTCCCGGACTAATTGTTCATCAATGCAAGGTCTGCAATGCCCTTTAATCTGCCTAACCAATATTATTTGCCCGAGCAGGCGATGGCTGCTGCCTGGGCCGTGATGACCTAATGGACCCCCATTTCCGAGGCGGCTGTCTCGATGCTTTCCCCGACTCAACTCATCCGACACTCGGTGGCGACCATGGGTTGTGCTATGGTTGAGCTGATCCATGCCGCCGAGATGATGCATAAGGAGAGAAACGATCACCGGAAGATAAAGGAAGAGCACGAGGTTTGCCGAGGTCGGATCCATGCCCTCAGTGATGAAGTCGCCAAAATGACCATGCTAGAAAACCAGCTCGTGCTCCAACAGTGCAAAGCCACCAAGGCCAAGGAGGCGCAGAAAAGGCCACCGAAGAGCTGACCTATGAAAGGGCGTCTTCGACTGCTAGGGTGGCCAAAATCAAAAGCAGGCATGGAGTCGAGCTTGCCGAGAGCGAGGCGAGGTGAGTGGACGAGCATGCCGAACTCAAGAAGAAGCACAAGGCCGATCTGGTCGCGCTCGACGAGCTGTATGCGATGGAGACCGTCGAGCTCCACCGAAAATACGAGGAAAGGATCTCCGAGCTCGTCGCCTATAGCGCCAAGATGGGAGCCCAAGTTTTCTTAATCAAGGAGGCGACATAGCTGGGTGGTGAGCCCATCGCCCTACCCCCGCCGTTGACTTATGCCGAGGTGCAAATTCAGTACTTCGAGGAGATGCGGAGGAGTATGGACATCTCCGCCGCCTTTAAC